CCCCAAAACCCCAAAACCCCAAAACCCCAAAACCCCTATTTTAACAATTCTAGTTGAATTCCCATATCTTTCAAGTTGAATGTTTACTCTATCTTTTTCTTGTCACTTGTGAAATAGATCACATCAATACGTCTTTTGGAAATAATACCGAGAAGTATCAGAGCATGGGCTACCGAGAGGATTGAGGACCACAGAACACTAGGAGGGAACATGTTCCAGCATACCTCTATTGCCAAGAAAATCAGAATTGAAAAATTTCCGTAAGCTGGTCAGCTTACTAGCAGCCATGGGATTGTATGGAAGTACCTATAAATTACCTAGAATGGCTTACCAGCTGTAGAATTGATAGTGTAGAGATCTAGCAAAGCAAATTCCAATAAAATTGCATGTAAATAGTACGTCAAGAGTATACTCTGGGTTAATCAATCTCTTCTTTGGAATTAGGCTAAATGGCCATATGGATAGTTCCTGGAAGATTTGTTTCAAAGAGACCCATTTTGAGAACAAGAAAAGCAAAAGGAAAGTCAGATGTAGGCAGAGTAGTAGTAGGGCAAACCTTGGGTCAAGAGCAATATCCTCACCGAGGTAATTCCAATTCACAGACCACTTGAAAAAGAATTCTCTTTTGAACTCAAAGGCTTTGCTGAAATAGCTATCTGCATTATGTGCAATAAATGGATATCCAAGGATCAGTTGGATTATTACAATCTGGATGAGATAGTAAGTGCCTTTCCAGATCCCTTCTGCTCTAGAGAGGATCAGGTATATTCCTGGTATAAATAGAAGAATATTCATCTTCACTGAAATTGCAAATGCAAAAAGGAATACTGCCATTTGGTTCTTACTTTTAAGCAATAGGTAAATTCCAATGTAGGCTAAGAACATAGCGATGCAATCATTGAAGCATCTGAGCATGTAGATTGAGTGGACCCTTTTTGAGATTATAAATAGACCGACTACCCACCATTTGCCAGGATTCATGACTAAGCCTCTTTCATATATTTTCACAACAACGAAGATTTGTCATACATAGATTACTAAGAATATCCATTGAGCAAGTAGGATATTTTTCCCAAGTTCTGTGAAGTAATAAAAAACTGTAAAAATATACACGTGTCCTGCTGGATATACTAATGGCCCTGTTCCGCCTCTAATTTTGATGTAATCCCTCTCGCCTCCAAGGAAGGTTTCTACCTGCTCCATGTATGCTACCCAGTCAATTTCTGTGTAAGGAATCTTGATGATGATAAGTGCTCCAAGAGCAATTTCGGCAAGGATTAGAAAGTAAATGAATTTACTTTCAATGAAATCCATGATGGATTTGATCTTTGACATTTTAATAATGATTAAAAGATTTACGGGGTTTTGGGGTTTTGGGGTTTTGGGGTTTTGGGG